TCTCATATAAATTTATTTCACTTGTTTGTTACCATGGTCTAAATCACTTTTTTCGAAGACGACGAATGAATAATTTTATTCCACTGAATAACAAGAGACAGTAATGTTGACTATATTATCAAGATTCGAGTACAAATAATCGATAATCTCTCTTCCAAGTAATCATCAACGCATTGAATGTCGTAGAATTGTCGATATACGAAAACTTACACAAATGACAAAAATTAATTATTTTATAATTCGGAAATACAACAAATAAACTGCCTAATCTCTTTTCGAAGATCACTTTAACTCAGCTAACCATACCTATTGGATGAATCCCCATGAAACCAAGAAATCCGTCAAACAAATCGTCTGATATTTTGTGTGAGGGTTGGGATACTACCGCCCGGACGTCTAGAACCACAGCAGATGATTATCTTAAGGGACCAACTACAAGCTTTTGATTTGAGGACTGATACACGAGATAGATTAAGGAGTCAGGTAGGTTCCCATTGTTTCGCGTGACCAAAACAAGTTCATAAGCCACTAAATCCATTCAAGATACTTGAGGAGATTTATCGTAGATTTGGAATAATGGTTTTCCAGCTCCCCTAAATAGACCCCTACATGTCCACTAATCCGTTTGTGAGTCCCAGACGTTTGCATTCACCGCTTCGTCACTTTTGTGAGAAACACCCCCTGCTGCATGAAGGTGGTATATAGGACCTTACTCTGGCAGAAACCAATGTAAAGTTAGCTAGTTCTTCTATATGGGTCGGAAATTTGCCACACATATCGCGAAAATTATTCCCAACAGACTTTCATGAACATCTAACCTTCGATGGCTGCATACTGAAGATCAAACTACCGGCTGACCAGAAAAAATTAGCAAAAAGCAACTCTGAAAGCGAACCAATCAAGAAGCTGTCGCTTAACAAATGGAAAGGGCACATGCTGAGGAGACTGTCTAATGAAATCACGCGCCAGACCATCAATCGAGTGGAACCCCAATGAGAAACGACGTGTGAGAGCGTCCAAAGGTGACATGCAGGAGATGAGAGCCTATGAACAGTAGTGGGACAATCACGAGAGGACTGCAGATAGTAGGACGAAGTGAAGATGTGCTGTTGAAGCCCTATGTTCCACTAGGAATCAAAGGGACCAAGAACAATAATAATAGTATAACAGTGTTAAAAACAGAACACATCTCTAGCTTCTTGACACATATAAACTCACAAGTTGAGGGAATAAAATTCACATTTGAATCAGAAAATGAACAAGGAGAATTAGCTGTGATGTTAGATTGTAAAATAAAACCAATAGAAGAAGGCAAACTACACACTGGTGTTTATAGAAAACCAACGCATTCTAATAGATACTTAGACCTCTTTAATTTGCCTCATCCGTTAACTGTTAAGGCAGGCTTAGTTAAGTGTTTAACAAACCGAGCAGTAGCACTAAGGAGCATAAGAAAAGACCTAAATGACGAAATAAAACAGATAGAAGAAGCGTTGGTGTTGAATAACTATCCCATAAAACTCATTAGGAAGATCATTAAAGGCCAAAAACAAAATAAAAATAATTGTGAAACTAGTAATAATAACATAAATAAGAGAGAATAAAAGTCATCTACAGTTACACCACATAAAGAGGGGACATCTGAGACACTACGTGGGATTCTAAATAAAGCAGGAATTAGGGTGGCATTTAAACCTACAAACTCACTCAGGTAGGACAAACTGTGTAGGTTAAAGGACCCAGTTGACCCAATTAGACAAAATAATATTATTTACAAAATACCCTGCAATGACTGTGAGTCAGGTCAACTGCATAAGTCAAACCAGTAGGTCAGGCGTAGTCAGATTGTCAGAACATAAGAATTTAACTAAGGTAAGAATGGTTGACCCCGAGAAGATAAGTAATTTAGAAAAACGCTCAGCAATTGCAATGCATGGGCTAACACACAATAGGGTGGGAGAGGGTTAAAATTCTAAAAAGTAATCTAGGTGGTTGGAGAGTGAGAGAGGTTGATTACTGAATCCTGTCCGGTTTATCGAGTCTACACCCAACACATGCAATAGGAATGACTCATCACTCATACCTGAAATATGGAAAATACTACTAGGTATGAAATCAAGCGAAAAACAATGGGACTATATAAATGAAATTAGGAAGTTGTGTGAGTAGTGCCTTGATATGATTATGAGCAGTAATAAATTGTGCTCGAAACATGGTCATCAGTAAACATTACTGTATAACAACACTGTGAGACTTTATCAAAACAAAATTTACCCATAATAGAAGACAAGCTGGCTCGTATACCATTCCGCTACTGGGACCCGATTCAGTGGCCACTGCATGAATTCTAACTTCTACCAATTCGTGATTTAACCCAACCCCAACCGTTGTCGTAAGTGGGACATCCATCGATCCTCACACGTGACATCTGGATGGACCTCACTGGTCACGACTTCTCACTGGAACTCCAGGAAACTCCATCTTGTAGCAAGTCACTAGCGAGCATCAGATTTATTTTTTATATTTTACGAGTTGATCACGGATTGATATCAGTTAGAGAACCATTGAAAACCAGGGAGTACTGGACAGCTGCTGTTTCATCCTAGTTTGGGAATCATCGGCAGTACGCACCCACTGGGTTTCGAACCCAGGACCTTCCGGTTACAAGGCAAGCTCGTATACCATTCAGCCACTGGAACCCGATTCTGATGCTGGCTAGTGACTTGCTACAGGTTGGAGTTTCCTGAGTTCTAGTGAGAAGTCGTGACCAGTGAGGTCCAATTAGATGTCACGTGTGTGGATGGATGTCCCACCAACGACAATGGTTGGGGTTGCGCTTAATCACGAATTAGTAGAAGTTAGAATTCACGAGCCATTGAATCGGGTCCCAGTGGCTGAATGGTATACGAGCTTGCCTTGTAACCGGAAGGTCCTGGGTTCGAAACCCAGTGGGTGCGTACTGCCGATAATTCCCAAACTAGGATGAAACAGCAGCTGTCCAGTACTCCCTGGTTTTCAATGGTTCTCTAACTGATATCAATCCGTGATCAACTCGTAAAACATAACTAATCCTTACAAACCAAACTATAGAAAGTTATTTTTTATAGTTTGGTTTGTAAGGGTTACATATTTTTCACGAGTTAATCACGCATTGATATGAGTTAGTTCCCAGCGGATGTGTACTGCCGATGATTCCCAAACTAGGATGAAACAGCAGCTATCCAGTACTCCCTGGTTTTCAATGCTACGCTAACTGATATCAATCCGTGATCACCTCGTAGAAACATATCTAACCCTTACAAACCTATGTTAGATATGGGTCAGAAAGTTGGCCAGTACATCACAAAAAAAAGCATTACCAACAGGCTAACACAGCCGCACTCTTTGGTTCCATACTGAAAATAATAAAGCCAGAAAGAAGAATTAGCAACAAGGAACTTACCACTGCACTGAACTAACTAAGAACTTACTCCTCAACGAATATTCCGAAGAAAATTGAAATGAAGAGAATACACGCTGAGAAGACCGTTGGGTGACGACAATGCACACCAGGCTATCGCCCAAAAGTAACCGCCCAATGAGAAACCACTACAAGTTGGCCATAAGTGACATAAAGGAGGTCGTGTGAGGAGGAGCAGGAGATGACAGTCTATGATCAATCCTATAGGGAGTGAGCTTAAGAGCTCCACAGAGAAAAGAACAAAGTCTGGCTGGTTTCAACAGAGAACTTTGCACAGATGTGCAGCTGTTCAAGTCACCACACTCCTTCTATTTACCAGACAAAGCAAGAGAAGAAATGCGATATAGAGACAGTAGACAGAAATATGAGATAAAAAGAATAGTAATAACGAAGAACAATATAGTGTCATTGGAAATTATAAGTCACAAGGAGTGGATGCATCTGCACCAGCCATCGACAACGATCACTTTGATCCATACCACCAATTGTCTACAGCCTTCATTAGTGTTTACCATCCCGAGAACCCCAACCAGTGAGGCAGTCTACACCTTCCTATGAGGCTGGCTGGCTAAAACTAACTGTTGTGGATTTCATTGACTGATGAGACCATGTTTTAGTTTAACCACCACTAACCAACTCTTTTTCAACTTCACCAATCTTTCACATCTCTAGGGAGCATTGTCTCAACTACAGGGGGGACGGACAAGGAGGTCAAATCGAGCGAGAATCGCGTGGTGGGCGAGAAACACATTCATCAACCTGAAACCAATCTGGGAATCTTCGTCACTCAGCATCAACAACAAAATTCGGTCGGATTTTCAATACAAACAACGTCATGTCAGTCAGTTCTTCTATACGGATTAGAAACTTGGCGGGCGGGTCACAAAAAATATTTCCAACAGGTTAACTCAGACCTTTATCAACAACAAATGTCTTCGCTCTATGCTGAAAATCAGATGACCGGGCCGGAAAGAATCATCAACAAGAAACTATAGGAACAAACGAAACAAGAACCAATCGCCAACCAACAAATATGCAGTTGGGGAAAGTGGAGATGGATTGGATACTCACTGAGGAGGCCGCTGGGTGACATCACGCGTCAGGCCATTGCTCGAGTGGAACCAGGCCGGAAGGGAAGTGGCAAGTGGGACGTCAATGCAAGGGTGACATGAAGGAGATCGTGTGAAGAGGAGTTGAAACAGTATGGATGGTGAACATGGATGCAGGTGAAAAGTAAAGCAGAAGACAAAACCAAGTGAAGAGGTACAGTTGAAGCCCTATGTTCCACTAGGAACCCAAGGTAACAATAATAATAATCCTATGTCAGCTAATATTACCAATTATCGAGGAAGACGACAGATGACTAGACATGCATGCATAACACATGTCTTAACCATCTCAGTCAATGTAACTTCACAACCTCGTCTATTGATTTCCCAAAGGGCGAAGTGGAGACAGAGTGCTGTTAAAGCACCCTACGTCCCACTAGGAACCAAAGCGAATATCAATAATAATCATATTAATATTAAAAAATACGTATGTCAAGGCACACATTTATTAATTTTCAATTTTCTTTAATAAAAAATCAAAAAAAGTGAATGTGCTATAAACAATAATACACACAAATAGACAGACAGACAGACAACAGATTCCGCCATCATCACTATCATCATGCAGACAAGAATAAAAAAAAACCCCAAAGAGAGAAATTAGCTAAACATGCTCAGAGAGTGTGTGTGTGTGTTCAGGCCGGTCGGTTGGTCGGCGTCAAAGAACAAGAAATCAAGCAAGCCGGTCAGCTACGCAGGCAGGCAGGCAAGTGGGCAGGGAAATAACTACCCAGAACCTCCCCCCAGCCGCACCGCGAAAAAGACCACATATATGTATATGTGTATATGTTAAAAGGAGAAGAACCTAATATCAGAACAAATGAATACGCATACATTCATACATATTACGAATGCATATCATATTGCAAAGGATTAATCCGTAAAATCATAAGAATAGAAAATTAAAAGAGTTGCTTCTCAAGGAGGGGGTGGTGGGTTGGAGATCGGGCTAAAATCGCGTGTATAATACACAGTGTATGCATAATATGTAAGTATATATATTCATATATCTCTGTGTGTGTGTGTGAATGTTGGTGTGCATGGGAACACAACTTGGTTTCGCCAATGGCAGTTGAGATCATCTTGCGTGTGCATGTGGGTGGGTGTGTGAACAAGAACATGAGTAGGTTGGATAAAAATCCTCTTTAGATGAATTAATGCATATTATACGCACACACACACACACACAATATCACTACTAACAGAATAATCAGTAGTATTAGTAACAGTATTTGTAGAGATGGCAGTCAAACACTTTGTTTTTAAATACTACTCACAACAGCAGAACAAAACAAAACAAAAAGAAAAAGTGAGAAGAAACTGAAAATCAAATTTTTCATGGTGATTGATTGATAATAATCAAAAAAAAGGTGGGGGGGGGAATACAACAATAACAACAAAGGAAAATTAAAAAATTCTACAAATTCCAGACTCTAATGAGAATCACATCATCATGGATCAATTTGATTGTGATTTGGGATTCACATATACACTAAAAGTTGTATCTGCACTCAGCGATGCCCGGCTTCTACTCCACCTCTTTTGTTGCGCACAGTACTATGAATTAAATCCTCCTTTATATAAATGTATATTCACAGTACATTATAGTTAGTTGCTTAGCTGGTTAGTTAGTTAATTAGTGTAAGAGCGGAAATTTAAACCACATTAAAATTAGGATAAAGACAGTAAAAAAAGGATGCTGATGATCGGAAATCATTGATAAATACACACACTCCCTGACTCTCTCCCCTTCTTGTGAACGGGGTCGCGCGTGCACCGCCAAAAAACACACAAAGACGAGGAAGAAGAAACAATCAGAAAATAAATCAATTCAAATCTACAATTCACCATTCCCATTGGTGGCGGTGGTGGTGGTATTCGCTGCAAACAAAGACTGTGGTGATGAAGAGACTGCAGGTGATAATACTGTAATCGTGATAATATCATTCATCTTATTATTGTTAGTACTACTGACATCCTCGTGTACAGAGTTCAATAATGGTGGTGACAACGGCGACGATGATTCATCTTCATTCTCACCAGCCAACTGAAGGTCAGGTGTTGTTGACGATGGTAATTGTGACGACTGGATTGATACCACAGGAGGAGGAGTAGGAGTAGGAGTAGGCGTAGTAGTGGTAATGTAATTTGGACTGTCTAACAGTGCCGGTTTCACTTTAATATGATAACTTTGAAATAGCGGTGATAGCGGTTTATTATTATTGTTATTATTAATACTACTATTCACAGATATCTTCAACGTGTCCATCGCCTCATAAGCATAAAATTTGACATCAGTATCAGAATCTTCAGCTAGACGATGTAAACAGGCTTTCACTTCACTGTCAATATCTTTTGCATCGAGTTGTAGGCCTAAATTGCTGAGCGCTTGAGCAACCTGTATATATATATAATAAGGAATGATAATAATATAATATAATAATAATAATATATATAATAACATAATATTTCAAAATAGTAAAATCAGGATAACGAAATGAAATAATTAAAAGAAAAGGAAATCCATAATATGCATTTCGTCCTATATGGAACTCGTCCACTGGAGGTACGTACACTTGCGTTCGCCTCCAGTGAAGAATGACCATGTTCCCCACTGAGACTCGAACCTACTCACCCGAAATCTCAGCAGAGATACACAGGGCTGGTTTCGCATATACCCCCGGCCGATAACTGCTATTTTGTCATGGTGGTTGGGCTTGAATACCGTAATGACCCAACATGCTAAACTGACTGGGACCTGTCCCTGCAGGTTGTTTGGATAGTGGTTAAACTAAAAGCAGTTACCATGGGGTACATGGGCTCCAGTATCCAATCGGATCAAATGGCGTATGAACCCATATAGGACACCGGAAACCATGGGAATGCAGCTCCTGACGCTGCTCCGCTACTTTCCGGATTAGACTCCAGGTCAATGGCTCGGAGGTGGTCCCTTAAGAAAACCACCTGCTTCGGTATGAGCGCTAGGGCAGTATCTCAGCCCTCACACAATGAATTGAATAAAGAAACAAACAATCAATGAAACTTATGGCGTGCTATTACACGTGTTGCATTTCCAAATACAAAAAAGTTCACAATACCATATCTGGCACAGCTGTTATGTGATGAGAAATCCGTTAGGTATGACACGATAAACTTACTGCAGCACTCTAACAAATAGTCTCATTAGGTTTTCTTTTCCTTTCCTCGTTACTACTACACTGTTGTTCTCATCTACTACCACACATCAACTTTATATTTCAAATCCTGTGTTGCATTGTTTGAAATGAAATACGTTGTTTTTTTTCTTAATTTCTAATATTTATTTATAACTTATTTATTATATTTTTATTTATTTATCTTTGATTTTTAAAAATCTTATATAATTTATGAGGTAATTAGATGCAATATACTGTAATGTACGCTGAAAATTCCATACCTGTACCACAAATACTGTTTGGAATGAAAGCTGTTATTATTATTATTATTAAATTGTAGTAAAAATAGGACTTACTTTAAATCGAACATTTGGTACATTATCTGTATGCATGGATAAAACTGTAGGCAGTAAATACTGACAACAGATGGTTGGACTGACAACTTTACACAGGCTAATAATACTTTGTAGACAAATCATACGATGTAGATAATTTTCATCACGTGATAAATGAATAATCTATAAAAATCGAAACAAACAGACAAACAAATAAAGGCATATGTCATACGCGTGAGTGAGTGAGTGGGTGGTTGCGTGGGTGGATGGATGGTTTAATAATAGATGCTTCATCATCAGTCATGCCCATAGTGTGGGATTTAAATCCTGGTTACACACACGCACACACACAAACACAGGAACATAGTTGTACTTCCCTTAACCAGTTGGTTGGTCGGTTGTAAGCTTGATAAAGAAGGTGAGGTGGATGGGTATCAGTGAAGCTAGTAACCCCATCTTGTCATACTGGTAAATACCACTACTATTAAAACTTCAAAACTCACGCTTAAAGGTTTTTGAGTTTCCGCTGGGAAGGCGTAGGAGTGACAGAAAGCATATGTTATACAAAATACTGAATGTATTGTGATGCAATAATCGACTGTCACAATGAATCGGTACAATCACACGCTGCCAAAGTCTTTTATTATTATTATTATTTGAACTTGGTTACACATGCAGTAGGTGTTTCCCTACCAGAGGTTGTACCCGGTCCACGCAGGTTGCGACACGAGATCAAGCTCATTGACGATCCAGCCACTATTTGGCTGGAATTCAATGACCTATGTATTCTAACTTCTGTTAATTCATGAGCATCAACTGCGAATTTCTGAAGAGTCCTGTAGTGGGGCGAAACAGTTGTCCAGTACTCCCGGCTGGTTTTCAATAATCTATCCGACTGATCCGATTTGGTTTGTCACAACAGTCTAGTAACTGATATTGAAGCACATTTAAAAAGTACTACTCTGAATCAGCAGTCTGGTGAATTAACTTCAAAATACACGGGATTAGAAGTTCGAAAAACTCTGTTTATGTCATCGTCATCATCAGTTCAGGCTTAAGCACATGTAAAATCAATGAAATTAGTGAAACAAGGCATTTGCATATCAATCAATCAATCAATCAATTATTAAATGATATGTGCCAACGTAGGCGTTAAGTTTTTCTCTGCCGATCAGAAAGCATAGATCAAAAAGAGCAATATATACATATAGACAAATGACGTCATCAAAAAGGCAAGTGAAATTTTGAGTGACAAACCTCAAATATTTTACATCTAATAAGGCTGTTTGATTACTACTGCTTCGTGACATTTTTCAAAAATGAATTAGACTGAAAAACTATGAAATAGGCCATGTTATTTTTGTTTATTGGATATATTATCATAACATACCGTCTTTATTTTGCTGGATGACAACATTTCGAACACAATCATCTATCACTGTTCATAACTATATCATTACTTGTAAAACTATACAAGTTCAAAAATGCAGACTAATAGCATTACTCTGCCTTCGTTCCCATTTCTTGCATAATGTGGTCGTAGAATTCGCAATTAATAGTGTTCTCTGAACTGGTTGGTTTAGTTGCGGTGGTGCTTTCGTCGTCCCCCTTCTGGACAATATCCCCCTTCAGCGCAATATTTAGCATAAAGTGAAATGATTTAAATTTCTTCATGAGTGATATAACTGCGTCTCCCGGTAACCATCTTTATATACATATATATATGGTCTGCTTGAGCAGCTGTCTCAACATTACCAGGATTACGAACTCCACCGTCGTTTGTTTGCTGTTGGTTAGCAGTAGAATACAGAATGCATGTAGTTTTTAACGCTTGAAGCGATGGACATTGAGTTCCAGTCTCAGTGGGAACAACGACCAGCTGATGAGTCCCGAACGAGACAAAATGTACAGACTATATCCTACACCGCTGACCATAATTGCACGAATAACTTTAAGAAAATATTCTTTGTTCATCGATCAGTCAATTTTTTTTATGAAACTTATAATGAACATCTGTAAATCGTTAGATGAATAACACTAATCTTCTATAGTTTTGTTTTTACGAGTTTGTACACACCAAGCTATAGAAAATTAATCTGATGCTCGCTAGTGACTCGCTAAAGGGTGGAGTTTCCTGGAGTTCCAGTGAGAAGTCGTGACCAGTGAGGTCCATCCAGATGTCACGTGTGAGGATGGATGGATGTCCAATCTACGACAATGGTTGGGGTCGCGTTATATCACGAATTGGTAGAAGTTAGAATTCATGCAGTGGCCACTGAATCGGATAGCCAAATGGTATACGAGGCAGCTTGCCTTGTAACCGGAAGATCCTGGGTTCGAACCCTGGCAGTGGCTAAGTAATGCCAATCATTCGCAAACTAGGCTGTTGAAACAGCTGCCCAGTACTCCCTGACTAGAATTCCATTATAGGTAAATTTTGTTTTGATAAAGTCTCATAGTGTTGTTATACAGTAATGTTTACTGATGACCATGTTTCGAGCACAATTTATTACTGCTCATAATCATATCAAGGCACTACTCACACGACTTTCTAACTTCATTTATATAGTTCCATTGTTTTTCTCTTGATTTTCACTTGATTTGATTGGTAATAGTATTTTCCATATTTCAGGAATGAGTGATGAGTCATTCCTATTGCATGTGTTGGGTGTAGACTCGATAAACCGGACAGGATTCAGTAATCAACCTCTCTCACTCTCCAACCACCTAGATTACTTTTTAGAATTTTAACCCTCTCCCACCCTATTGTGTGTTAGCCCATGCATTGCAATTGCTGAGCGTTTTTCTAAATTACTTATCTTCTCGGGGTCAACCATTCTTACCTTAGTTAAATTCTTATGTTCTGACAATCTGACTACGCCTGACCTACTGGTTTGACTTATGCAGTTGACCTGACTCACAGTCATTGCAGGGTATTTTGTAAATAATATTATTTTGTCTAATTGGGTCAACTGGGTCCTTTAACCTACACAGTTTGTCCTACCTGAGTGAGTTTGTAGGTTTAAATGCCACCCTAATTCCTGCTTTATTTAGAATCCCACGTAGTGTCTCAGATGTCCCCTCTTTATGTGGTGTAACTGTAGATGACTTTTATTCTCTCTTATTTATGTTATTATTACTAGTTTCACAATTATTTTTATTTTGTTTTTGGCCTTTAATGGTCTTCCTAATGAATTTTATGGGATAGTTATTCAACACCAACGCTCCTTCTATCTGTTTTAGTTCATCATTTAGGTCATTTTTGGGCTACTTAGTGCTACTGGTCTGTTTGTTAAACACTTAACTAAGCCTGCCCTAACACTTAACGGATGAGATGAATTAAAGTCTAAATATCTATTAGCAGAATGAGTTGGTTTACTGTACACACTAGTGTGTAGTTTACCTTCTTCTATTGGTTTTATTTTACAATCTAACATAGCTAATTCTCCTTGTTCATTTTCTGATTCAAATGTGAATTTTATTCCCTCCACTAGTGAGTTTATGTGTGCCTAGAAGCTAGAGATATGTTCTGTTTTTAACCGCTGTACCACCGACGCATAAAAATAACACTAATATTAGTTTATTGTTATATATATATATATATATATATATATATATATATATATATATATATATATATATATATATATATATATATATATATATATATATATATATATATATATATATATATATATATATATATGTATATATACAACTCTCACCTTTGGTATATAAAAATTACTCGCCCATTCAGGACCAAATTTTATACACAATCGTACAAGATTTTCAACAGCTGCCTCTCGGATAGCATACACTTGATCAACAAGCCATGATAGGCATAATTCAGTTAACTGATCGCCGAAAAATTCTAAGCCTAATTGTTCCGCCAACAATGGCATATATTCAATAATAGCTAAGCGTACACGCCATTTCGGATCTTCAGCCAACTGGACAATAGCCGGTAATAAACTTGTCTCTAAATGATCAATACCAATCACAGAGTTCACTTGTTCTAGATTAGATATCACATTCAATCGGACTTCTGGATTGTCATCATTCAATTGGGCTAAAAATATTGGCAGCAGATGTTCAATTGTTGAAGCTTTACCGACTAGTGGTGCTAAACCGAGGATAGCACCAGCCAGAGCTGATTTCACATGAGTATTTGACTCGCTAGTAAGATTTTTGATGGCTGGCAGCAATTGTTGCATAATAATATCATCTTTTGAAGCGATACCACCAATCACTTCATTGTCTAGCTTGTCATCAATATCCATTTTATTTTCATGAGATGTGGTTGGTTGTTCTTTGGATGATGATGTAGTAGTAGTGGCGGTAGCATTCGCCGTCGTTGTTGTTGTTGTCGTCGTCGTCGTGGAAGTATTTGACTCGTTAACTGGTAGACCGAGTAAACATCTAGCGAATGATTTCACTTTGCCTGCAGCAAAAGCGCGTACTTCCGCCTCCTCATCGTGAAGTAATTTCATGAAGAAAGGCTGTGTGTATGTGTGTAGAAGCAGAAAACAAAATATCAAAATATGAAAAGTAAAAGGATGCAACGCATTGAAGCAAATTAAAAAAAATCTGCGGAGAACAGTCTCACTCCACTGTTTCAGCGATATTATACTACAAAGCTAAGCTGTACACAATCGCAATATATGTGGTAAATTGTCATAGCAACACGAGTAATATTCCTAAGATGTGTCATTCTTTAGACAAATTACGCAATATGGTATCCACGAACATAAGCTAGCCATCAAAAGACATGATATCCACTCCCTCATATAGGCTCACTGCATACAGACAAGCACGGACATCAATTCGACTGGGACAACCAGCGTTCAAATATTATACAGAGGAAACAACAAGAATGCTAGAGAATTTTTAGAAGCCCGCCTGGCATTCCAGTGAATCGTCAATCAATAGACACATCGAGATAGAAAAGAAAATTTAACAACCGATAAAAAAGAAACCTCATACACAAAGGATCAATGTTCAAGTCGAAGAAAAAATCAGTACCAATACAAGTAGCCGCCTAGAGGGTGTGAAAACACACGGGAATAACCAAAGTGTCACGTCCAAGGTCACCCATCAGGAGAGATGATTAATAAACACGTGGAGAAATCTAAAGGCTCACTACAAACTGAAGTACGCGCTGAAGATGTCGTCGCCTAGTAGGGCGATGAAAGCTTCGCAAATTAACTATCCAACTCAGAGAACATAACCACATCAAAATATGGGAAACGTTAATCGGGTGGAGACAGAAATAAAGTTATATGAGTGAATTGACTGACGGTAATATAATTTTCAAAAGAATGGATACTGAACAAAGAGCACTCTTTTTGATAACCTCGTCATCATCAGGCTCTACAGTTATACATACACATTATAGTGAATGAATGAATGAATTAGTGTTATGAATAAAGAATAAGCTCTCATTTTATTGCCGATATACATGGATGATACCTTTATTCTTTGTGATAATGGTTATGATAAGATTACAATAATTACTGAATTCAATGAAGTACATTTGGCTATGAAATTCGCATGCAACGAGGAATCCCAAGACAGAATTGCCTTCCTGGATATCCATCCTACTTACAAGAAAACCAGATGGTAGCATAGAAAAAGCACTTGGACAGGACAATCAATATACACATTTTCACAGCTTCGTTCCTATAGAGTACAAAAGAAATTTAGTGAAGACCCTCAGCCAAAGAGTTAGAGCTATACATGCTCAGAAGAAGTGATTGAAGATGAGTTAGGCACTGTATATGATACTTTGATCGAAAATAGCCAGCTATCCCGAAAAAGTTATCAAGAAACACATGGCAAAGAAAGCGGCGGAAAAGGACTGCTCACTATCTGTAAACAAGAAACCAATTTATATACGACTACAATTCATGGGCGATACATCAAGCGAGATAATTACGAAGAAATTAAGGAAATCAGTTCAAAGAACTTTTAATACTGGCGAACTACACGTATTATACTCTACACGACCGATAGTGCTACCTCGACTGAAAGATGAAGTACTTAGACTAGACTAGCCACTTCAAATTGTATCTACCAATTCAACTGCTCTCATGTGGAACGAGTTATACTGGCTGTTGCTCTAGAAACTTGATTTTTAGTGCTCACTCGAGAACATCTCCCACTATGTCTAAGTAAAGGTGTGGTGAAAACCATTAACAGTTCGATATTGGACCATCTACTGCAAACCGGCCACAAAGCCAGCTAGTATTGAAAAATCATTCTCTATCACCATCTACCGGATGCCTAACAAATTGCCAAAATCATCAAAGCACTGCATGCTCCAAACAGTAGAGGCTATTGCGATTCGCCTCAAACAACCAGTATTCTGTGTCCAAAAGAAGTAAGTCCAACGCGCACTACTGCCTTGGCCTTCAGTAGACTATAAATTCACGAATTTGTAATATTATCTTTACTAATTTTTCTTACATTCAGTGTGTATTGTTATGTTGATGCTATTGAGCTGTAATCTATCAATATTATTGCTTCGATGTTATTTAAACAACATTAATGTTGTTCATCACACTAATTCATTCATTCACTATAATGTATATATAATTGTAGAGCCTGATGATGAAGAGGCTATCGAAAAGAGTACTCTTTGTTCAGTATCCATTCTTTTGAAAAACAAGATTCGTTAAATTTAAATTTAATTCTTTATACATTCTATTATTATTATTGTCCCCTTGGGTTCCCAGTGTAACATAGGGCTTCAACTGCACGTCTCCACTTGCTTCTGTCTTCTGCTGTACTTTTCACCTGCATCCATACTTCGTCCATGCTGTTTCAACTCCTCTTCACACTATCTCCTCCATGTCACCCTTGCACTGACGTCCCACTCACCGCTTCCCTTTCGGGTTGAATTAACACAAACAATCATGATATTGAAGTTATAGTTGATAATTGGGACTTAGGATGAAGACCATCCGAGGTAGGTAGTGTTCAGCTAAACATAGAGTTAAGTGTCACTGTTTCACATGAAAGCTGTGCTCTACCCAGTTGTGATAACTGCAATAAAACGATGACCTACTTGGCTACCCATTCAGCTGACTCTTCGATTAGCAGAGGACCCTGGATTCATAATCGATTGAGAGCTGTTTCCGGAGAAGTTAAACATTAGACACCCGACTGGCGCGAACACCGCACCAATGACGTTGGAGCATACCCAGCCAGAATAAGAAGGCAGTGCAACCAGATAAATAATACACTATGTTGATATGGTTAGGTTCAGGCTACGGACAGTTTAAGCTTAGGGAAACCTGGTTAAGGGGATATTTGGGTGACATTAAGGAAAGATTACAGCTAGGGTTGAGTTAAGGGCCGAAATTTGTACGTTTTTAACGCAAATGCACATTTTATAGTTATCACAGACCCACAAATATCTCGTCTTGGTCCCCCAAATGAATACCTTTTACAAAAGAGACGAAAATATAAGAAGGGGCAACCTGTCAGTTGTTAGCCGTGAAGTCAGAATGGATGCATGCGTTGACATAGTAATCTGATTGGGCAGTTTCTGATTGGTTTATTTTTGGCTTGATTCACGGGTATTCTGTAGGTAATGACTTTGGGGGTTAGTCAGGTGTCCAGATTCGATCAGGTGTTCCAGGATACAGCTGTGGAGGGAGAATCTTTTACTTCCTTTTTTAAAACCATGAGGGTAGGTGTTCAATGATACATTTGGATAACAAATGCTGGGTGCTGCCCACATATCTAGTCCCACACGAACAAATGAATTGATAGGTGTACATTTGTAAAGACAGAAGACAAGGGCCAGGCAACACATCGTTTACTGAGAAAATCAGTCTGTCCGTCTGTTTTCAACATAGAACTTTGCACCGATGTGCACCAGTTCAAGTCGCCACACTCCCTCCCTTGTAGCACACAAAGCAACAGAAGAAAGTAGAAGAAATGCATATTAGAGACAGTAAACAGAGGTGTGAGACAAAGGAATAGTAATAACGAAGAGCAATATAGATCCATTGGAAATCATAAGTCACAGGGAGTGGATGCATCTGCGCCATTCAGAACGATTTTGAGCCATATCATCAATTGTCTCCAGCCTTCATTGGTTTAAACCGTCCCGAGAACCCCAACCAGACAGCAGTCTATACCTTCCTAAGTGGCTTAGACTAACTGTTGTAGACTTCATTGACTAGTGCCATGTTTTTGTTTGACCTCCACTAGCCCTTTTCCAGCCTGACCCTATGTCTAGGAAGGCGATGACTAGGCATACGTAACACAAGAGATATTTACAGATTTTCATGTAAATTATTGTTAGCGGAGAAGCAACGTCTCCTCCGATTGGTTGTTTTCTTGCTGAAGGTTATTCTGTACTGTTAGTGATCAACCGTTTTTCAGAAAGTTAAGCCATATATCTGCGAATTGTATCTGCACACCTTAACTCCGCTGTGATTGGCTAGTGATTTTTTCAAGACCGGGATTTGAACATTGACGTAAATTGCTGTCTACAATTTTGGCTTGCAACCAGCTCTCACCACACAATGATTGATGAAGTTAACATTGGTAGCTTATCCTTCACATTCAATTCTAGTTGAACTCGACTCAATCCCGTGAACTATAATTACATCACTTAATTCACTTATAAAACCTTACTTCGTTTTCTACCCGATTACGTCTTTCCACATTACGTAATTTGTCACATGAAATTTACAATTCTAATTTCACATTTTTAGAAATATTCCCTTTTGTTGCTACGACAACTTACCACACATATGCGATTGTGCAGCTTGGGAAATGATATCGCTGAGACAGTTTGGTAACAAACTGTTCACTGAACGTCTTCCCTTCTATAAAATTACGATGGTCAGAACTAAACGTTACCACAGAATAGGTCTGAAATGAGGGTGGCGTAGAATATGATCGAAAATCAACTACAAATATAAGAGGTGTGACCGTTGGATTCTTTTTTGGCGGCATAATCCGATTAGGGCGTGGACACACCACTTTCAATCAACACAATAAAATGACAATATACGAAAGATAGCATGAATACAGTGAAATCGATCGAACAAACAGCCTTGAAAAAAAAACTAACTTTCACTACTATTTTTAGCACTTACCTGAAGAAATAAGCCAATCTTTGAGGAAAATAACGGAACTGCATAAAACTATACCATATTATCGGTTGATTGAGATGAGTAGTAATGGTGTTTGCTCTATCGCTTACTAACCAACCAGCCAGCCAGCTAGCCAGATCGAAAAGGCCTGAACACCGCAATACCGAACATTTCGCTTATTTGGTGTCGAACTCATCAGCGGTGTGCCCCGATCGATAACTGCTACCTTGACGTGGTGGTCGGGCTTGCACATCGCGATGACCCAACAAGCTACACTGGCTGGAAACAATGTTCCCGCAGGTTCTACCATGCCAGGAAGGTTGCTAGGATAGCGATTAGACTAAAAGCAGTTACCGGCTTAGTGTAAGCATTTTTTACACTATGCTGGGGAACACGGGTGTAACAGAAGTAAGGTGTTCCCACCATATGACCAACATGCCATATATGCTGTCTCTCCACTTTGGAGGGAGGGGGTTAGAGAAGGTCGATTCCAAAAATTGTAGACCCCGACTTACTCTACTGTGGTCCGTAACTGGCGGTAAATTTACTAATACGGAAACAACCCAAGAAAGCAGTTCATACAGGCCGTGTGTGACCGGCCTCAAGCAGTTGTCCCCTGGGCTCTGGTGTCACACAACACTTTCTGTTCCAGGTAGCCGAAGAATCAATCAACTTCCATGGTGTGGGCAGCCGGGAAATAACAATCGCCCACACACTTCCAAATGCACATGAAGCCTTCCTGAGCATCAATCCCCTTTACTCACGTCACCTTCCTCATCCTGAGACAGCGATGCGTGCCCGGCTTGACTCAGCTCAAGGTAGCTGGATCAGTTAAGTTAAAGCTATTCGATTTATGGCGAACTGGTGACACCACAAATCATATTGAAAATTTTCCAGTGTACGTATGTAGTTAAAAGAAACCCAATTATTCAGATCACAGTGTACTTGGCCTGTTGATAAGCTCGACCACCCCGCCGCCCCCACAAACGAAGGAAACACTCATCACCTCGATCTAGCTAGCCAGCAATACTGGTTGATACGAGTGGTCGACAACCACTCATTTCAATTATATATATAACATATAGTTTTATACAAATACGCTTGTTTTCTTAGTTACCACTTATAGTAACAGGCCGAACTGATCACATACCTTGACCTGAATAATTTGTGATGTAAATGTCACCCAGTATTCACACCGACAACTCCACTGAGAGGCACATATTACAACTATCATTCCCTTGGGTTCTGAGTGGAACACACACAGGGTTTCAGAGACAAATCTCCATTTGACCCTGTTCTCGGTAGTCCTCTCTTTATATATCTGACCCCGCAACTGCTCATAGGCAGCTGGCGTTTCCTTCTGACCCTCAGATCCACGCCCAACTCGTCATCGCCTACTCAGCTTCCACTCGACGGCCACTCTCCCATTAATCTCTTCAACGTAGGCCAAATCCACCTCCATTTTTTCTTCAGCATATTTATTGAACGACAGGTTCATTGGCTGGTTGTTTCGTAGCCAGAGTTCCATGACAGTTGCACCATGTGGTATCCTTTAAACATGTCAATGACTTATTTGTTATATGCAAGGAAAGAGATTTTGATTGGCCCAACCTTACACTATGGATGGAAAGAATTTTTTCTGATTCCCTGAAACAATTAGGAGTATATCTCAATGGAAGTTATCCAATGACTTTCGGTGCTCAGTAGAGAAACCCAAATAATCCAATCTCCACATAAAACATGGTCAAACGTCCGGATAGAAAGGATTGGCAACAAGGTACCCTCTGTCATCGTACCAAACGAGAACCTATCGCTTGACAAATATGTTGAATGAAATGGAGATGAGTTGGAGACAATGAGTTGAGTACAATGCAGGCGATCCTCGAGTGGAACCTGAATGCGAAACAACGAGTTGGTGGTTATCCTAGGGTGATATTGAAGAGATCATGCGCGGAGGAGATGAGAGATTATGGTGAATCGTGGAACCAGCTAAAGACGACTGCAGGGAAGCGAGTGAAGTAGAGATGCGTTGTTGAAGCCCTCCCTATGTTATACTCAGAATCAAGAGTAATAATAGTGATAATAATAATAATGACAATATAAAAATGATCAACAAATTTTTGAAGGTCAAACCAATCACAGATCTATAGAAGAAGAAATAATGTCTAATCCTCAGAGGCGCAACTACACATACCTTCCGAATCCTAACACACGAAAGAAAGTGTTTAGTATTCTCAGAACTTGGATAACTTCATTAAGAAATAAGCGCATAAAGATGATATCACCTAGCCTGTTGATCAAATCATTTTCACGTACGTCTTAAATGCAATCATCAGCATACAGAACAAGATCAGGATCTTCAACAAGTACATGATTCAGAGACTTCCCAGGTCACTACAAAACAATTTTAACACATCACAGAAGACTTTTATTAATAGCAGAGAACACAGAACGAAATACAGGTGGATGGATTGTACATGGGCCGGGGATAGACATTCAAGTGACATTACACAGCCAGTCTATCGAATTCCCACTTGAATAGAAACCGATGAACTGGGCGTAGATCCCTGTCTGTCTGTTTTCAACATAGAACTTTGCACAGATGTGCAGTAGTTCAAGTCGCCACACTCCCTCCCAACAGAAGAAAGTAGAAGAAATGCGAAATACAAACAGTAGACAGGGACATGGGACAAAAGGAATAGTAATAACGAAGACCAATATAGTTTTAATGGATATTTTAAGTCACAATGAGTGGAAGTATCTGCATCAGCCATTAAGAACAATCACTTTGAGCCATATCACCAATTGTCTACAGCCTTCATTACTGTTTACCATCCCGAGGACCCCAACCGAGAAGTCTACACCTTCCTATGTGGCTAGTTTAAACTAACTGTTATGGATTTCATTGACTGATGAAGCTATGTTTTACTCTGACCAACACTAGATCTTTTCCAACCTGACCCTATGTCAGCTGACATTGCTCATTGTCGAGGAAGGCGATGGCTAGGCATACGTAACACATGTCCTAACTATCTCAGTTAATGTAGCTTCAAAGCCTCGGTGTAGATCCCACAATGACGTGGGGAAAAAACACCATGTGAGGAGGAAATGAGCGCTACACACAGACACAGTGAAATAAATGTCATGTCGATAGAGAAAACAAAAAGGCCATATATATAACACACAATCTCAACTAATTGTCCAACTCAACTAACTTACCACTAATCGTTCACGTGAAACACGTTGTCCCATAGCTAATTGAATATCTGTAAACTTATCCGCTACAACGCATCGTACACGCCATGATTTATCTGTTGTCGCCTGTTGGATAAGATCAATTAAGTATTCTTCTGATTCTTTGGGTCCTAAAGCTTGTGCTAATTGGACAACCGATTCAACAGCCATTAGACGTACAGATTCTTGTTCATCAGCAACAAGTCGAATAAAAATAGGCACAAGTTCAGTCACGATAGTGTTACGTTCATTCTCTGGGTCTAGGGTGTAATAATCATAATTGTGATGAATAGGATTCATAATAAATGAAGACTGCTCTTCGGTGTTTTTTACATTTGTTGTGGAATAATCATCACCGCCTGTTTTAATAGAATCCTCCTTCGTCGCATCATCATTAATAGGCGGTGTTTCATCATCGCTTTTACCCTGCTGTTCTGCTGGGTTAGATAATTCACTGGTTGATTTCTTTGATTCAACAGACGAAGTGGTTGTATCAACTGAATTAGTTTTACTATTGTCATTGTCATTCGACTTCTCACTATTTGCAGTAGCTTGTTCTTGTTGTTGTTGTTTAATTGGACCTCCGCACATAGACACTGCCAATTCACCTAATCGGGCAGCCACTGCTCGTCTGACCATTGGAGTTTCATCCCTATGTGTATAAAGCGAACAAGAGAAAAAAAAAAGAGTTGACACCAAATAAAAATGGAAACCTAGAGAAATATTTGATGGCATCAGTGACGTTTGTCTAAAGTGAATTCCTGGAACACAGGTGTCCTTAATGTTCCTGATGATTTCACGCAGTTGCGCAGAATGAATCAGATGCAGATGGATCTTAGTCCGGAAACTGCTGACTGGAAGTTCAGTCCTAACGCTAATAATGACCCATATCTACAGGAAATCACTGATACACTGTTCATTGCCATGAAGCCATAACTTCAAAATGTACAATAATAAGCAACAAACCTAACTTGTTTGTTTGAAGACTAGTGATATTGTCGAGTCTTTAGAAAAAGTGGGAAAGTCAGTCAATAAGGCTGCGAAGCTAAATCGATTGAGATAATGCCATACCTAGCCATGGACTTCTAGATCAAGCAATCTTCTGCAATAACGAATTGGATCACACAACGATCCAGAGTGGCTAGACTAAAACACCACATCAAGCTATGATGTCTTTGACTGGTTGATTTCAGCAGAGACGTAGGGAGGTGAAGCATGATGTCTGGACAAAGGGAAGAGGGCCACGAAATGCTAACAATCAGTGGTTTGGAGACTGTTGGTGACATGACCCAGAATAGTTCTCAGTGGAGTAGAAGTGTTAACTCATCGTAATATTTTAAATCAATTTAGAACTACTTATTCTCCCACCTGCACACCTAGGATCCAGTTGAATTCAGTGGCACTATCTCATTCTCTCTATCTTAGTAAAAAGGGACCAGTTCAGACACGTGACAAGTTTACGCGAAAGTTTAGTATCTAGACTGGTTGCAGGATTTCAACATGAGCTGATGTCGCTTAGACAACCGTTGGAAAAGCTGGGACTACTGGATGGTGTTTTGATTTGACACTAGTAACTAGTGCAATGCGTCTAGTCCTCTGATTGGTGTAGACTGAATTCTATCAGTCAGGTTGTAATGTGACCACCATTCTAGCTAGCTTGCCATCACGGTGCACATTGACTTGATGGTATTAGATGGTTGGAGGCAATCGGCCACAGGAAGCCTTGCACCTAGGTCTCGTGCTAGTTGGCACACACAAGTCAGCAAGGCGTATCTGAAACCTTGAAGTAACTCATGTCCCTTCTGAGATTCGAATCCGCGTCACCCAGTGCTGCAGTCAGAGACGTTACACACCACTGAGCTATCGTGATTGACCTTCTGTAGGACCTGGCGAGCTAGCTAGAATGGTGGTCACATTACAACCTGACTGATAGAATTCAGTCTACACCAATCAGAGGACTAGACGCATTGCACTAGTTACTAGTGTCAAATCAAAATATCCACTAGTCCCACAGGAGGTTAATCGCGAGCCCGAATAGCTCAGTGGTGTAACGTCTCTGACTGACTGCAGACGGCACTGGGTGGCGCGGGTTCGAATCTCAGAAGGGACATGAGTTGTTCCTGCAAGGTTGCAGATACGCCTTGCTGACTGGTGTGAGTGCCAACTAGCACGAAACCTAGGTCAGGCAAGGCTTCCTGTGACCGATTGCCTCCAACCGTCTAATACTACTAGATAGCGATTGGTGCTAGTTGTTTCTGCTGTGTTGACTGGTTATCTTCTCTATCTTCACCTGGAGTCCTCCTCTATTCCCTGCTGCCTTTTCTGTTAGTTTGTTAGTTTTCGTCTGCTTGTAAGTCTTCGAGTTTGTGTGACACTAGACATATATTATCTGTGAAGTCCATATCTTCTAGATTCTCCTCATCGGTGGTCTAGAGTACTTCTGTCTCCTCGTTCCCTAACAGTCTGATATATAATATAGCACACCACAATTAAGAATATCATCGGTGATAATTAATAGGCAGGCAGCTTTAACTTACTCCTATATTCACTTCGAACGCCTAGCTGAGTTTTCCATTATGGATCACCTGACACGTGGCATTGTCATTATAGCAAGGCAGCTGTTGAATGAGGCTGATAAAGACTTGAGGCACGCCGTAATGTTGAAGCTATCTCCAAACATTTTTTTTCTTTATGCATACTAGTAATACTAATAACTCTTTACTGTCAAACAGATGATGTAGTTAAGGGCAGTCCACTTAGTCCTGTTTAGGAAGACATCTTCATGCCAAACCATAAGAGAACACAGTTGAAGCCGACAGTCAGTGGGACTTAATTAATATCAATAACACATTCGTAGCATGCGACAATAAACATCATGCATCCTACCTACCTACCTACCTACTCGGATTATCCAACAGCACACATACAAAATATTGGATTCATTATGGAACGTGGAAGGGATGAAGAGTCAAGATGCAACACGTCTGCTGGAATATGATAGTTTCCTAGAGATCAATTGGTAGGTGGACTGGATTATGCGTCAGACAGTGAGTGGGAAATGAGAAGCAGACAGGGATTTCCTGGACCGACCGACCGACGCGAAGAACCTAGAAGACCTGCATTTCGCGCGTGGACGATTTATGTTTGATGTCACTGTCACAAAACCGAAGACTTACAAGCGAAAACCAACAAACTGGCCGAAGAAGCAGCCGGTGAAGACAGGACTCCAGGTGAACACAGACAAGACGGAGGTGATGAAAATAACCAACCAACCAACAACAACAGCAACATCCAGCGCCAATTATCATTAACGGGAGGGATTTGAAAAAGGTTACTTCATTCACTTATCTAGGGAGCATTGTCTCAACTACACGCAGTCGGGACAAACGAGGATGTCAAATCGAGCGAGAATCGGGAAGGCGAGAAACACATTCATCAACCTGAAATCAAGCTGGAAATCTTCGTCACTCAGCATCAACAACAAAATTCGGTCGGATTTTCAATACAAACACGTTAAGTCAGTCAGTTCTTCTATACGGATTAGAAACTTGGCGGGCGGGAGACAAAGAATATTTCCAACAGCCTGTTGCAGACCTTTATCAACCAGCAACTGTCTTCGCTCTATACTGAAGATCAGATGGCCGGAAAGAATCACCAACAAGAAACTATGGGAACAAACAAAACAAGAACCAATCGCCAACCAACAAATATGCAGTTGGGGAAAGTGGAGATGGATCGGACACTCGCTGAGGAGGCCACTGGGTGACATCGCACGCGCGTCAGGCCATTGCTCGAGTGGAACCAGGCCGAGAGGGAAGTGGCGAGTGGGACATCAATGCAAGGGTGACATAGAGGAGATCGTGTGAAGAGGAGTTGAAACAGTATGGATGGTGAACATGGATGCAGGTGAAAAGTACAGCAGAAGGAAGACAGAAGCAAGTGGAGACGTGCAGTTGAAGCCCTATGTTCCCCTAGGAACGCAAGGGAATAATGATAATAATAGAAATCAATTAATTGAAAGGCCGCATCGAGTTGACATTACTTACAATTCAACAGTTTCTGTCTAAATACCTCTAAATAAGCACTAATCAAAAATATGCTGTAAAGAACCAGGAACATACGATCCACGGAGAAATTAGTGGAAGAATTTATAATTCTCGAAAAAATGTTGAAAAACAATGGTTACACCCTCAGAAATTCAGTAGTAGCAAACAAATCACACTGGAAAAGAAGCCTATCTTCATAATCAACTCGACTTTAAAGGTGATAATATATATTAAAGGAATAGTCAACTGAAGATTCAATACCTCCCACTAGTCAGGGCTTATGCTGCAGCTGAACTGGTACAACCAAAGGTCAACAGTTAACTTTATCTTATAAAATCGAACCGTGCATACCAATTTACGTGTATATATGTGTTAGCAGTTACATTGGGAGAAGAGAAAGAAAGGCAGCACATATTCGATTTTGTCAACAGTGAACCAAAGAAGGAGAGACTTGAAGGGAGATAAGTCTTCCTGTGATAATCACAGAGAGATTAGCTTCACTAATATAGTATCTAAAGTCCTAGGCTCAATAATCATGCGTAGACTAAGTGGTGCTCAGAAGGCACAAACACGAGAGATCCAGACAGGCTTTAGACCAGGAAGAGCGTGTATTGATTGATTATATCTCCACCCTTCGACAAATTCTAGAACATAGGCATTCTTACCGACGTCCAACAATCGTTATATTTCTCGACCTAATGACGGCTGTCATTCGATTCTGTCGACCGAGAGGTACTCTGTCGATGCTTGGCTGTAAACGGAATGCCGAGAAAATACATTGCACTGATCAAGGCACTCTACTCGAACTCATGCAGCCAACCGGGTGAGGGCTTACGGCGAGTTGTCATCTGAAGTGGTGACGACTAGTGGTGTCAGGGATATCCCCATTATCTTCATTTCTATTCAATTTCATCATAGATGTACTAATGGATTTAACCCTAACTCACTTCAAAGACTCAGGGATTGACTTGCTACTAGGGAATAATCTCGTTGACTTAGAATATGCAGATGATATAGTCCTTCTAGGCGAGGACGCTGACAAAATGCTGAACACCTTGAGCTGCAATCTACGAATGTTTGGCATGCGATTCGCTCCCGCCAAATGTAAGATGCTATTACAGGACTGGACTACACTGACTCCTAGTTTAAAAATAGTGAGTGAAGTGGTAGAGCACGTTGACCGCTTCACTTATTTGGGAAGTACCATCAGCCAACGCCAACGGGTTGATCTCTGACGAAATCTCAGCACGAATACAGGGGGCTCGTTTCGCATTTGCCAGTTTACGCCGACTACGGCGTAGACGAGATGTTCGACTATCGACCAAAAAGCTGGTGTATTGCTCATCAGTCCGCTCCGTCCCCTTTTATGGTTGTGAGACCTGGCCACTGAGAGTGGAAGACATGAAAAGACTAGCTAGCTGTCTTTGATCATAGATGCCTGCGTTCTATTTCCCGTGTAAAGTGGCATAATAAGGTGAGCAATATTGAGGTTAGGCGTCGAGTTCTAGGTAAACAGGGGAAATCAATCGACGAAGTCGTGAAGCTACAAAGACTGAGATGGTTAGGACATGTGTTACGTATGCCAAGCCATCGCCTCCCTCGACGAGCAATGTTAGCGGATATAGGGTCAGGCTGGAAAAAAGCTGGCGGCGGTCAAACAAAAACTTGGCATCAGTCAATGAAATCCACAACAGTTGGTCTAAGCCACGTAGGAAGGTGTAGACTTCCAGGCTGGGGTCCTCGGGACGGTAAAAATCTATGGTTGGAAACAATTGGTGACATGGCTCAAAATCGTTCTCAGTGGCGCAGATGCATCCACTCCCTGTGACTTATGATCTTCAATGAAACTGTTTCGTATTTCTTTATTACTCCTTTGTCTCACACCTCTGCTCACTGTTTCTATTATGCTTTTCTTGTACTTTCTTCTCTTGCTTCGCGTGCTACACGGAGTGTGGCGACTTGAACTTCCGCACATTTGTGCAAAGTTCTATGTCGAAAACAGACAGACAGACAGATGTAATATTGTGATTAATGCTGAAAATTCCACTCTGTACCACAAGTACTGTTTTTGGAATAAAGTAGATTATTATTATTGTCATTATTATTATTATTAACAATAATAATGAGCAATAACACTGCTCAGTCAACTCACCTAGATAATCTCTTCAGGAAATCAAGTAATTCCCATCGTTCTGAACTGCGTACACGTGGATAGACCACACTGAATAGTGCACATGCCGACGTTCGACTTGTAAACCAATCTCCATTGGCTAACCGATGCAGTAATGGATTAAAATATTTTTCAATTGAATCTGTTGTATGATCTGGTGCAAGTTTTCTTAATGCTTCAACAGCTTTGTCACGTACAACTGTTTCCTCTACCTAGTTGAATATATATAATATTAATATAGAAATGATTATTGCGGAATAAGTAGTCTGCTTAACACTCCTTATTCGACAACAGTAATAGTGTGGTGAGAGCTGACTGTTAGTCAAAATTGGTGGACAGTAATTTACGTCAATGTTTATGTCCCAAATATTGGTCGTGAGAAAAATGAGAACAAAGACTGATTCAACAACCAACCACAGCAGGCTTTGCGCAGGCGGATACAGTTAGCATATAGATGATCTGACATTCAAGAAACAGTCACAAAGAGATGCAAGATTAACTTTCTGTGAGAAACAACCAATCAGAAGACTGTTTGTCTGCTAACAATAATCTATAATACGTACATGAAAATCTATAAACACAAGTTGATTTCCTTAATAAAGGATCTGTTGCCTGGCCCTTTTCTTCTGTTGTTACAATAGTATTCCCGTTGAAAACACACACTGAAATCGAACCAGAACCTTCAGGCAAATTCACCCCCCACACTCACTGTCTTCACAAACGTACGTGGTGAGGACAAGTGTTCTGACAAAAGTGAAAGGACGACTGAAGAAGTGTGATTATATCACCGGACTTTTTGGAGCTAGTAAACCCTAATTCTAAACCGATGGTACAGAAGGGCTCTAAAATCAAAACGAATCAAATGGCATAGTAATATTATGGTTTGCAGCAACTATGTGAACGCATCTCCTTGCTCTGTTTTGTTGACCTGTGTCAGACTTAATAACGATAAGGCCTTGGAGAGCAGTCACTTGAAGCAACCACCTACTTCGGTCAACACAAATTACGGATCAATAATTAATGGGAAATTCCACTCACCTCCAGGCTCTTAGGCATACACGTATGAGGCCAACTTATGTTTTCGGCACATGTTCTACATATTGTGCAACCACGCCCAACTCTGCTGTAGGTTCCGAACAATACTTAAGGCGATTGTATGCTCTTACTCTACCTGAGATATACCTACCTCTATAAGAGGCTCAGGCACACACAAACGCACACACACATATATGCACCTACTGGACAATCTCAGAGAGTGATCTCGTCCTAGAATTCACCGGTTATCATAATATGAATTAATCAAAAAATGCTGATATTCGAGCAAAAAAGTGGACTGAACACTATGTCCACTGCTACTAATAATAATAATTTTCCCTTCAAGTTCCCAGTGGAACATAGGGCTTCAACCTAGTGGCTTGAAGTTTCTGTAGGAGTGTTTATTTTTTACAGGATGGGGTTGCTAGTCTCATGCCCAATCTTTCCTCTTTACCAGCATTATTTCGGGCTTAGAGAGGTGAAGGAGTGCATCGGCCGGGAATCGAACCCCGGACTATGTGCATGGTCGGCAAGCGTCCTAACCGTTATGCCACCTACGCACATATCCACTACTTACATAAATAAAATTCAATTTGCTCACTAGAGATCAGTGCTTTTAGTAATCTGAAATTTATGGTACGCATTTTAACACTCTAAGCATTGGAGCCAGTCCTACTTACAATATCCCTTTAACCAGGTAGATATAGGTGCCGTACAAGTCGAACCCGGGAAGGTCGACTTTATAAGCTGATAGACTACATACATCACTGCTTAACACAGAAATTCTTGACTAGACAATTGAGCTACGTTAGCAAGAATCAATAATCACATGACATGCGTGTTTTCATTTAATAACTTTGTGAATAATTATTCTAACCACAAGAATTTAAGCATTCTACTAGTATTTACTGCCAAACACGGTTGATTTGTGGAGCGAATCCCGTTTACTTACTCAACAGCGCTCACGTTGGTAACTTATTTTCATGTGTAACTGTCCCAACAGATAGCTGCTACCTTGACTTGATGGTGGTCAGGCTTGCACATCGTAATGACCCAGCAAGCTACACTGGCTGGAACGAATGTTCCATTCAAGAAAGCAGTTTGCATCATGGTGTGTTGGATGTTTACACTATGCTTTGGGTATATGGGTTAAATTATACTGTTGGTAAACAGGTATATAACAGCAGTAAGGTGTTTCCCTCAGATGACCGGCGTGTCAATTATGTTGTGTCTCCACTCTGTGAAGAGGTTATGGAGCGATAGAAAAGGTTGACCCCGAAAATTGTAGCTCCTGATTTATCCTACAGTGGTCCGCGTAGCCGGCGGTAAGTTCCTAATAACTCAAGCAGTTATCACCTAGGCTATGCGGTCAAGCAACACTAATTGTCTTTTTGTGTCAGGTATCCCAAGAAAAAATATCATTGACTTAATTATTCTGAGTTACAGAATTAACCAACTTTGGTTTCGAGCTACAGTTTACTAGTCTAGGGTGCTCGAATTCCTAGAAATAACTTGAGGGTTGAACGACTGCTTCACCCATCGAGGTTTCAGCAGATAGACAGTATCACAAGCCCTTAAGTAACAATGTGGTTCATTGGCAACATCATATAAACGCGAGTACCTGAGACTTAAGTTTATTAAGTCGGCTATTTCTATAGCTAATATTATTACTTCCTTATAAACACGGTAAGCAATCCAAACATCTAACAAGACAGACATACACACATAAACTTACAGCAGCAAGACTTTCAAGTGGAGGCAGTAACGAATGAGCGTATTCTGGGCCACCAACATAAGGAACCAATGTTCCTAATTGTTCTGCTAAAGCAAGTAAAACTTCATCTTCATCATAGATTGTCTCAGTTAAAAATGGTATCAGTTGAGATCTGGTTTTCTCCGGGCCAAGGGCTAATGCAATAGTTGCTATTTTACGAATACTTTGAAGACGGACTTGTAAGTCTTCACCACGAAGTTCTTCTATAAGCACACCAATAGGATAATCTTCATCTCTGTCCATTAGTAGCTAAAAGAGAAGAAAGAATCAGTGATTAATCAGTATACTATTGTGGTGAGAGCAGGGTGTTAGCCAACTGGTAGACATTAATTTACGTTAGTGTCTAGGTCACTAATATTAACCCTGAGAAAATATGAACAAGCCTGATTCAACAACCAGTCAGAGCAAACTTAACATGGGCAAATAAGATTCGCAGATAGATGGCTTAACTTTCCGAGAAACCCGAAACAATGAATCAGAAGACTGTTTGTCTGCTTGAATAAGCTATAATAATGTACATCAAATACATATAAATACGTGCTGATTTCCGTAATAAAAATGGATCTGTTGCCGGCCCTTATCTTCTGTTGTTACACTATAACACACTAATAAAAAACATGACACAAAAGTCCAGCAATTTTACTTGCCACAGTCCATGTGGCATACAAGGGTAGAGAAAAGAAAACCAACAAAATCAAAAGAATGTCAATCAGCAGAAACCTACGAAGAAATATTAGATGGCTAAACACGAGGGTTTAATATTTATAGGATATTAAAAAGAATGAATGCCATTAAGAAGCATTTTGAGCTATATTACCAACAGTCTTAAGTCACTGGTTCTTAGCATTCTGAGGTCCCCAACCAGGCAGCCTACACCTCCACCTACGCGACTGGCTAAGAAATAACTTTGGAAGATTTCGTGGAATGATGCCATGTTTTGATTTGATTACATCTAACTCTTTTTCATCAAACTAGTTAGTCTAATGTCAGCTATAACATTGCTCGTTGAGGAAGACAATGGTTCGGCATGCGCAACACGTATCCCAGTCATCTCAAGCCAGGTAGCTTCACGATCTCATTGACTAACTTTCTCACCTTACCTAACGTTATGCCTAACTTGAGTATTATTCACCATACTATACCAATTAAGATGTGTTCCGTCTGTTTTCAACATAGAACTTGGTGCCAAAGTGCAGCAGTTCGAGTCGCCATACTCCCTCCTTGTAGCACACAAAGCAACAGAAGAAAGTAGAGGAAATAAAAAAAAGAGACAGTAGACAGGGATGAGGCAAAAAGAAGAGTAATAACGAAGACCAATATAGTTTCATTGGAAATTATAAGTCACAATGAGTGGATGCATCTGCGCCAACCATTGAGAACGACCACTTTGAGCCATATCACCAATTGTCTCCAGCCATTGGTGTTTCCCGCCCCGAAGACCTCAACCAGGAAGCCAGTCTACACCTCCTTACGTGGCTGGCTTAAACTAACTGTTGTGGATTTCATTGACTTGTGGAGCCAGCTCTTTTCCAATCTGACCCTATGTCAGGTAACATTGCCCGTTGTCGAGGAAGGCGACAGTTAGCCTTTTTGAAATCTCTCACTTTGAATGGCCATGTCTCACAAACATAAAGCCGTATGGGACGAAGTGATACGGAGTACACACGTCGTTTGAGCAATAGCCAGATACTACGTCCATTGGGGCCAATGCAACTTCTCAAGTGAATGAAGTAGTGAATACGTTTCAGTGTGCTATTTCGGCTGTAGGTTTCTCAATCTTATACATAACCACGTCTACATGTGATCCATGGAATTCAATCTCATATCTTCCACTTTCAATGGCCATGTTTCATAATCTTTGAGGAGGATAAAACCAATTGCTGCACAATATTTTTCAGAACAAAACAAAGTCGATTTCATAGCTAGTTGCCGAATGCATTAGCTAACTCCACCACTAATCACGGCTACTATTTTATACACAATAAGATGTAATTATTGAAAAGATACCAATCTAAGAATAGAAACTCTAGTGAGGATTCTGTGGAAAATTTCTGTATATATGGACCCATCAAAATGGTTTGAAAAGAAAACAAACATCTGCTAGTCGAGACAAGGTGTAGCGTACTAACGTACAGCTACTAACTCCACGATGATTTGGAACTTACGCTGAAACTGAAAGCTACAATAAGATTTAAACTTTGGATTTCAGCAATATTTGAAATAATTATTAAGTCTTTGATACTATTTAGCAGTTGCACGAAGTGAAAAACAACGAAGAAACCCGATGGCTCATATTGCATATGTCAAGCAAGATGCCATATTAGGTAGCCTAACATTAATCTGAAATCAGCTAAATTACCGACGTAGAACTCTGTAGATAAGTGCATCAGTCCAAGCTGTCACAATTCCAAAGGCAAAAAAATAAAAGATGTTAAAAGAAAAATAAGCATACATATTAGTTAGAATTTTAACAAACTTCAAAATTACAAGGTCTGTGCGCTACTGAGAACGACTTCCAACTGTCTCACCAATTTCTGATCAGTGATTCTTAGCGTTCTGAGAACTGCAGCCAGGTGCTCTACACCTCACTACATAGTACAAAGTTACACTCGAAAATGTCATTGATCGGTGTCATGTTTTCGTCTAACTACCTCGAACTCTTCCGCAGTGTCATTCTATTTTAGCTAGCAATGTTATGGAAAGTAGTGGGTCAGCACGCGTAACACATTCTGGCCACCACAATCGATGCAACTTCACAATCCCATCCTTTGACTTTCACTTCTAAGCAAACACTATCCAACATCATCATCACTGACCACCTTGCACAAAGAAACGTGAGACATAGAACGCAAATACCCAGGATCAGAGATGGCTAGCCTATTTATTATATCTCCTAATTCCAACGACCGCAACTCACGATCATAAAAGACAGCTTTGATTAATACGGCCTAATAATATGACACAATTTGACCAATGTCAAACGAGCACTTTGTTCTTGCACTGAGATTTCGCTAACAACCAGTTCCATATGGTGGATGCAACTTCCCACGAATATGAAGCGGTGAACATTTCACTCCCTACTCTTAAACTAAGAGCCAGTATAGATCAGTCACGAAACGTTATCTTGCATTTAGAAAGGAAATCGCAAAACTGACAATGATACAAAACTGATATTGTCTACTGATAAATGCAAAACAAAAAGTTATGTTAAAGGCATTACACTGGTTTTTTTCACTTTATGTGTTAAATATTTATACTGTACATCCGTTTAAAATGTCTTCTGAATGACCACCAGCCTAGACAGATTGGAAGTATACGCAGACCCAACTTTAAAGCGTAGCAAACCCAAAACAAAATACACCATGGAGAATCCTTATATATATATATATATATATATATATATAAGCCGAAAGAAATATAAGCGCCTGAATCATGTGAACCATTTTTACATTAAAGGATGACATTGTTATGTTCTTCAGGTTACGGAATCACAGAGTCAGATTATTTCTAAACACAAAGTAACAGTACGCAAATATTTACATGAACTAAAAGCATTCCTGCAGTTCATTCAAAAGTAGGCTCCATGTGTTTTAACAGATGGTCTACATATCGGGAATAAAAGACTCGAACACTCCAAACCTCTTCAAAATGGGGGATGTTAACACCTTTAAAAGAGGCATTGACCGCACCGACCAATCTGTGAAGAAAGCATGCCACTTCAGAACATCAGGCGTAATACATGGAATACAGGAATTACAGATGAATTTAAAGTAATTTAGACGTCCTGCTAGTAACATTTCATTTTTCTGGGCATTTAAAGGTGAATATGTAGTACATTTAAATGAGAAATGAAACACAGCTGCAGTCAAAAGACAGTTCGACCTTCACTCTAAGGAACTACAGTAAGGCGAGTTGCTTTACCATATTTAAGTGATACATCTACGATAGGAATCTTGCTTGTTGCTGACTCAAGTTCGAAAGTAGTAAGATGTTAGCATTCAAATACTGACAGGAACAGAACCACCACACTTTTGTGCTTTCAGACTAAATGCTTTCCTGCGAAAACCGTATACAGTGACGGTGCTTACAAGGCTACATTCAAAACCCTTACTAGGGCATGTGTAATTAATATGGCTTTATGAAGTTTCACCCTCATATATATTGTACTCTAAGCAACATACATAATATTCATATTTCCTATCAAATTTGGGTACGGAAAAGCTGTTTCCGACTAGTATGCTCTTGATGGAAAGACTAGAAACTATATTTCCTTGATGCCATGTATTAATTAAAAACCTACTCACCGTGGTAACATAGGGAAAACCTGAACTACTGGAAAAAACCGACAGTGAAGTGTGGCGCCCTCTTGATAGTGTGACTTAAACAATTAGGTCAGATATAAAATTTCTGTAATAAGTAATCGCATAATGAAACAAGAGCAATATGAGCTTTGAAATGCTCCTCAGTCACTTAAGATGAAAACGGATAGACTGTTTTGGACTTTGGCTGTCTCTTAACATAACTTGTTGAGGGAAGGTCAATGAAATAGTTATGCGCTTTTAAATTCATCAGATGGGTTGCATAGTGTATGCACTGGAGTTTTAAGCTAATAACCTGATCCTTATTATATTAACTTTCGAGAAGAGTGTGAATGAATTCTTTTATAAACATTCGAAACTAAACAATCTTTTCTATCATGATACTCAAACAGAACACAGAAGAAAATTGCAGTGTTTAACTTTAATTAAGCGACCATCCTATCCTCCATATGTTACAAAATACAGGCCGTACTGTTGGTGTCAGTAATCAACTCACCTATCAAACTTCTTACCTTCACTACATTGTTTTCACGTTAAATATGAATCGCACAGTCGATTGCAATTAGTAAAAGTATGTGTTCTTGCCCACCATTAAAGTGGCCCGACAAGACATCAAGGACTTTAGTAATCATCCTATTTTATATTCTTGAATAATTTTATTAACTTAAACGCTTCAGAAATGCTTGTTCGTATTATCATTCAGTGGTTAATTTGCTATCTAATTGCCTTGAATTTCATACCCATACATACTCACTTTTCGAAACTCTAGTTGTCATCTTATTTTACACTGATAAAATGTAGTTTAGCAGCCTTGATAAACATAATGTGATTGAATGTCTCCTTCATCAGCAGAGCAAAGGAAAAACTGTTTAGAAAATTTCTCCCAAACGATCTAATTACAATATTGATGCTTATTTTCAAACTCCGGCTGAATTCGTCACTTTTTCCTCTTGCTCCTAGTCTGCATATTATTGTTCTAAATTTCGCATACCAACTGTTGACCTCATCATAATTATTCGTCTTTGTTAATTTTTAAACTAATGTTGCCGCTGCTCCTTGGACTTATATGATGGTTTTGATGATGGTATTTTACGATTGTCATCTTGTCTGAATAAAATAAACTGTAGCTTATGCCAAGACGATTTTGACCATGGGCATTCAGTAAATTCTGGAACAGACGATAACGTTTGATGCTCTCAACATGGCGTCTGAAAAACCCTATAAATTATGATAGCTAGTTGTTGCAATATCCGAATGTGCTGTTAGTATTAATTTCAGGTTTTCTTAATTGATGCCAACGGAACTCGTGATGGAAGTCATTTTCTTCCACAGTGCATATACAAAATATATACTTTAATAATAATAATAATGGTAAAGCTTTATTTAAGACAGTATGCGAGTATACGGTACAAAAATTGTCAGCGTATTCAGTTCCAAAGTACTTTTTCACACAGGATTCACATGTAAAGTAATAATCTGAAGTATATCTTCATTTCATTGAAGAATAATAATAATAATAATGTATATTCTCATATAAACATATAAATTTACATGAAAATGCATGCCATTTCTGCAGGCACGATCAAGTATGATATAATATCAAATCGTAGATTGTCTACAAGTTAATAATGTTTCAACAGTTAAATATTTGATATATATATAAATACACTCATTGTCTGAACTAGGCTGTATATTTATTGAATTGTAAAATTGTCCTCCAGGTTGAGCGGGAAAATCGACTTCGTTTCGTTTTCATCCCGTGGTTGTAGGCATACGATAACCAACCAATATTGAGGTAAGTACAACGTTTACAAGGGATTAAAAGCTGTTTTTAGAAAAGTAAAATTGCTAAGGTGAATCAATAAAGTGTAATGAAATGGGTAAGTGCAAGTATCATTAATAAATGCACTAATAAAGGAAACTATCTAGGCTGACAACGTTCATTTGCAATGTATAATGCTTCCTGTACAGTTTGCACTATCATGATGTCCACTTTTGGTTTTAATACATTTTTTCCTTATGCCGGTTTTTTATATTTTATGCCTTTTTGTGCATTTGGTGCGCAACCGTACCCTACAGAGAATAGGAATAGAATAAGTCAAATCAAATTCATAAAAAGCTATAAAATGTTAGCTTTAATGGAATATAATGAGGGTCAAGTAAAGACGTTACTAGAAAATGAATGAGATAAGACATTGTGAAGTGGTATTTAAAGATCTGACGATGGACAGCAAGTTAGTTTATAAGGTGCCCCATAAATCTGTGCAGATCCCGCGTGGTCGCGTCTCAACAATAGGCTGAGCGAATGGTATATATTTACAGGTAGAAGCATGATCTGTCAAGGCGTTCGTTATTATCTTTTTCAAGATAAAGATCTAAGCCCTCATAAAAATCAGAAATATCTCGAGCCTTCAATTTGCATATTGCTGTTCTTGCAGAATGGGGCGATTCACCTTAGTGACCCCCACCATATCTACTGATCAGCTAACGCCACCCTCCCTCCTTTGTACAGCGTTTACTTTGGAGCAAGTTAAATCATCGCGCATGTTTATGTATAGGTTATTTGATATAACTGGATGATTAAAACAATGATAAATCCAGATGAAATTAAGCATTTTGGAGGAAAGTAATTTCGGTAGCCCAATGATTTAAGCAGGCCGCCAGTGAACTATTGATTGGTGGCAGCGTATGCAAACACAAAGATAACCACGAAGCTACATGGTTGTCACCAGATGGGCGGACCGAAAACCAAATTGACTTCATCTCAATCTCAAGGAAGACGAAAGAAAATATTATGAAGCCATGGGAAGTGAAGCAGAACAAGCTGCAGTGCGGTCAGAGGAGACCTCGCCACACTCTACCGAACAACTAGGAGGCTATCGGGCAAAAGTTTAACACAAATTAGGCCAGCCAAGGATGACAATGGAAAGTAAATCACCGAAGAGGTTGAGCAAGGGAAACACTGGGCAGAACACTTCAAAAGACTGCTAAATCGTTCGCCACCTACAACGCACCCAATAATAACAACAACGGAAGCAGAACAACCGGTGAACATTGACCCCTCGACGAAATCAGAGGTCCTGAAGGCAATCAAGATGCTAAAAGCCGGAAAAGCAGCGGGACCTGATGATATTCCAGCAGAAGCATTGAAAATGGACCCAAAAACAACAGCGGACTTGATGACACCACTACTGCAGAAGATGTGGAAAGAGGGCAAAGTCCTTGAGCATTGGAAGAAAGGATACTTATTCAAACTACCAAAGAAAGGAGACTTAAGCCAATGCAAAAACTGGCGCGGAATTATGCTCCTGTCCATCCCAAGCAAAATACTAAGCCGCATCATCCAGGAGAGAATCAAACAAGCCTTGGATGAAAACATCGACCGGAACAGGCAGGGTTCAGGAGAAACAAATCATGTATTGATCAGATCGCCACACTACTTACCATCATTGAACACAGCTTGCAATGGCAGTCGCCTCTCTACCTCACTCAACTTCATCGACTTTGAAAAGGCCTTCAATAGCACAGCGTCGATCCAGAGGTGATTTGGTAACTACTTCGCTACTACCAAGGGGTGACGCCAACAATTATACATCTCATCCAACAATTGTACGACAATGCCGCATGTTAAGTTATCCACAACGGGAAACTTACGGAAACCTTCGAAGTGAGGACAGGAGTGGGACAAGGTTGCCTACTGTCGCCAATGATCTTCCTGACTGCAGTAGATTGGATAATGAGACAGACAACGGGCAATGAGGAAACAGACATAAAATGGACTCACAAAATAACTTGGAGGACCTGGACTTTGCCGATGATATGTGTCTGATTTAACACAAACTGGAAGATATGCAAGTGGAAAGCAACAAGCCGGCAGAAGAAGCATCGAAGATAGGACTTCCTTAAGGTGAACATAGAGAAAACAGAGTTGATGAAGATTCCTGGCCAACACCAACAGCCACAGCCACAGCAGATAACAATCAGCATAAATGGGAGGTATCTGAAAGAAGCAACTTCCCT